TATATATATAGAAGTGGTGCCAACTTACTCTGTCAGGACATAACATTTACCAAGAGGGCAAATCGTGGACCGTTACCACCCCCGTTTACACGTACCGATGCAAAAGTTCTACTTTATCAATGGTGCTGAACTAAGCTTTTAGGAGACGTTCCGTGGGTACGGTAAGAAAAGGCAGTGTCATGAACTGCTACGACTCTAGAGGAGGAAATAAATCAGTTGATTTACGTCTCGTCTAAGTAGGTATGACACACTAGGCAATAGTTGTCGCTGCTTATTACATAATGATCTATAAACGTGGCTAAGCGAAATACGTAAATCCGAAGAGAAACTAAGTGCTATTTAAGATCGTTCACATTCAGTCAGGGAGAAGTATGAGCATACATGGTACATGGTAGGTGCACCTATGCTATTATAAATGTATTCGATTATAAGGTGCAATTACTAAAGGTGCGTGGAAAGTAACGAGTAAGTAATCGAAAACCGACTCATTTCAATTTGCTCTATTTCAACTATTTAGGTATAGATATTTGTATTTGATTGCAAATAAGTATTTACAAAAAAAAAACTCTGAATATTTCAGCTGTGTCCCCGCCGCAATCGGCTCCAAATACTTCATCAGGTAGGACGTGCTGCCCTTCTGTTATATATATTTATATGCATTAATTTATCGTGCAATTTCTTTCAGATTGCATGTGACAATTAACAGCGTTAGCATCGTACATCCGAGAAGCCAGCAATTGGCCTTTACAATATCTGAGTTGGTATCTATGCAGATAAGCAACATTAAAGTTAAATCTGTACGTAATATCAGATGCCGAGCTCGAACGGGAGTGGGAAATTTTGGGCGTCCTCGGTCCGTTGGCAGCAAGCAAAAGGTCTGCCGCTCTCATGCTGGTCATAAATTTTATGCCCAGGTGAGTATGCCGTAGGTAAAGCGTTTTTCTCAATAATAAAATATTTTTGTGTGCGCAGCTAACGTTCCATCGACATTTCGTAATGAAATTATGATTTAAGAATTCTTATTTAAAACATTTTATTTCTTCTTCTTCTTCTTCTTCTTCCAGACTATATTTTCACCGTAATCAAGGAAATAACCACTATTTAAGAAAAAAAACCAATATGGGTTTTCCTTAAATTGTTTCTTCGATTTTCATGGCTTTCCGTCAACCGGTTCCCAGGGTTCATGAAGAAAATCCAATTTCTGTATTATGACCAGTGAAACTAGAGTATCTTTTTTAGACAAAATAAGCTCTTTATTTGGCGTCTAATTTTTTTGGATTGTATTTCTACGCAGGATAGTGCACTCCTGCACAGCCATGTTACGGGCCTTTATTCCAATGGTTAACAAGTGTCAACTGGATGAAACACCGCGACAGTTTTTTGTGAAAGAACAAAGCCACTTGACTGCCTTACGACTCCTAAACGATCTCAGAAAGTAGGCATTTCCTCTGTTACAGAAAAAAATAACTGAAGTTATGATGAATACGGTGACTGTAGTAATAAAAATATAATTCGGAAATTTTCTAATACTAACAGGCTTAAGCTGGATTGTCGATCGTTGGATAAATCGCTAGAGAACTTGATGGCTTTGCAAGAGTATGTCACAATCGATGCTCCCATCACCGCAAAAGAGGTGAGGATCTCTTTGTTTTGGAAAAATTATTTAAGAATTCATAATATTTTAGTGGTGTTGAATCTCCAAATAGACCGTCTCGTCGATTTCTACGGGCCTCCCGAAGTTCAGTTTATTAAAATAAACGAACATTTCCATGATGATTGGCCACTGACTGCTCCTAGGAAACCTCAGGGCCTGTTTACGTCATCGTATATATATATACAGGGCACGATCGAGCATTAGATGCGCAAAGACGTATGTTGTTTAACTTAACCTTTCATGCCATTTTTCTTCTGTAGGCTGTATGCGGGCATGTTGTTCGGCTGTCATTCTGTGTAGCAGAGTTGCAGGAATGGCTTTCGCGTTTAGCAAATGAGATTCCCATCGACTGGGAAGCCGTAACTAGCCACACATTGAGTTGTTTCCGTAATGAAATACAAAACGGCTTTCCCTACCGGGCACAAAGTAGCCCTTCGTCCGATCCCTCAGAACTAATAGTTCGATTGACTGATTTTCAAATCACCAGGCTTATTGGTACGTACTTAATTATATGACCGTTCTGTCTTATCTTAATGATGATGCTGATAGTTGATGAGAGGGAAAAATAATTATGTTTCCTTTTTCATTTATGGCTGTGATCGCGTTCTGGACATATGTTCCAGTATATTAGTTAGTTAATCGTAATAAAACGTGCCGTGTCCTAAAAGCGGCGTAAAGACTAGTTGTAACCGTATAACAAGGAAGTGATGCTTTTCAATAGATTTTACAGCAAATGTTGTTTGTTCACAATGTAAGGTGCGGGAGGATTCGGGATGACTCAGAAAGCCACCATTGGCGATATCGAAATTATCATAAAGTTTGTTCCAGCAAGCAAGGTTAGTGTGGACATATGAATATTCTACCAATTCGAAAATTAAATTCAACCGTTCTGGAGGCCGAACGAAGTAAAGCCTTAATGGTTCATTTTTGTGGTAAAAAAGACGATCTTTTTCATTTATTCTACCAAAGGTAGGCGTTCCAAGGTTTGCCTGCATCGACAAAGTAGTAGCATGTGTAGTGAACCATCCATGCTTGGTCAACATCTTTGCATGTTTTGCTGTACAAGACGCCTTCGTTACGTGTATGGAGTACGTGCGCGGCGTAGACCTTCATAAGGTGCTCAAGGTTTCAAAAGTGTTTCCTCGTGATGTTTTGCAATTAGTGGCCGCTCAGCTAGGACTTGCCATTCAGCATCTACATTTCAAAGGTTTTATTCATCGTGATGTTAAGGTGTGCGCAGTGTTTTTACATTGAAGCTTTCTAAGATATTTCTCAATAAGTATGAAATTCTGCTACTACTGCGTGATTCGTGCGTTCAGTGAGCTGGCTAATGTTTAGTTGTCGTGAAACATTGTCTATTTATTTACTAGCCTTCAAACGCAGTAATTATGCCTGATTGCCGAGTTAAACTGATCGATTTCGACACTGCTAAGCTATGCGAAGGCCGATACGTAAGCCTGACTGCCTATTGGCGTAATACTGCTCGCGAAATTGGAGATAGGGAGCATGCCGGAACGTTACACTTTTACGCACCTGAGGCAGTTAAAAAGGAACCGTACGGGAGGGCCATAGATTGGTACGTATCTCTTCGAGTCGTGCGTGTGTGATCGTCAAACGTCTTATCCGTAGATCTAATGGTGTGCGGAAATTCAGACTCGGGACTTGATTTAGGTGCCAAATTGGCAATAATATAGTCTGGAAATAACGGCTATTTTTCCGCATACCTAGTTTCGTACACCTGGTTATTAAAATTGAGTCCCAAGTTCTATATAACTCTAACTATATATGGATAAAGTTCTAACTTCCACAGGCCGATGTCACGGCGTCAATGCAAAAATGCGTAGTTATTTTTCTGGTAACATTTGGTCCACTAGGTGGGCTCTCGGAGTGACCGTGTTCCAGCTGGCAAACGGATGGATACCCTTTCGTAAGACGAGAGTGGTTCGTCAGCTCCGAGACAAGATTTGTCAGGGTCTGCTGAAATGGAACCCTGTAGCTCATCTGCTACCGGAAGACAAGGCCCTTATATCAAGCCTTCTTCACCGCAACCCACAGGGTACCGCTCTTTCGGCCAGCAAGCATCCATCATAGGTGATGTGGGTGATACGTGCTTTCATTGCCACAATTTGCAGTAAAACCAATTGCTAGAAAAAACATCGGAAAAGCGTTATCAGGATTAGTCGGTTTAATGTTGATTGCTAGCTCGCAAAATCTATCTGCACAGTAGATCAATAGCATGAATAGACAAATCCTAGATAGCGAAATGCATCGTTTGAAAGTACTGCGAAAACCTAGTAAACTATACCTAAAAAATTCTCTTCGACCTATCGAAACGATCTTTGACGAAACGGCCCTGCATATTGCAGCCCGCCTGTGCAGCCGAAACTACGCTGATTTTCAAAGCCACGTTTCATTCAAGGGTATCAACTGGCAACACTTAGAAAGAGGTGATCTCAGAATCGACTTCCCAACTGTGAAAAAGTGTATGGCACCTTCGAAAGATTATTTAGGCCAGTACTCGCCAGTCACCTCACCCGAGGCAGAAAAAAGGAAACAAAAATTGTTTAGCGTTGAAGTTTTCAAGGTTAGTAACATTTATTTTATAATTTTATAATTTTATTTATTTTTTTATATATTTAATAATTTTATAATCCAATTTAGTTTATACAATAGCAATATTAGCTTTAACCTTTCTGAAAATGTCTAGGAGATTTTCACCCTACGCACTACAGGCTTCGAACTTATCTTACAGGATTGGCACCGCGATTAGCTTTTTTGAAATGTGATCTGCTTTTAATAAAAATAGCATACGTTCTAATCACGTGGAAGGAAAAGCCCGCGTGGATCCGCTAGGTGAAACTTAGCAATAAAAAGTACGCTTGCGTAATCTTATAGGAGGTGAAAGAGCACTATAAGCTGTATACCTTCACAACGAGACGCTTCCAGGAGTGCATTCAAAAGCATAGAGCTGGTATAGTCGTCGAAGCAGAAGACCTCTTCGAAGAGCCCGAACTTCTCACAAGCCCTTCTCTTCAGCTTGCGACCTCTGCTGCTGAAACATGTCAGGTAATTTTCCCTTTCTTGTAAATTTGAAATGCTCGTCAAACCGATCATAGACACAGCAAGAGAACTCAACCGATCCTCAACGAGTTATCGGAAAGAAGGTAGATCCCTAAGGTTAAACCAGTAGCAACTCATTTTCTGTTTACAAATTGTAATTATCAATTAAGGAATTTGTTCTAATGAAGTATCTTTTCCTTACTTTACATGCGAAGGCCATTGATGTTCGCATAATATTATGTGGTAACAGTCCTTTACCTGAGGGGGCTGGCTTCAGCGTCATAAAAGAACCTTGCTTGTCAGGCGCCAAACTTGACATTGTTCATAACGTGACAGCAGGGTCACCCGCACAACAAGCCGGACTTCTTCGCAGTATGTACTCGCGTTTTTCTTTTTTTTTTTTTTGAAAATTTTGAAATAATAATTTCAAAATAAAAAAAAAGGTACCATAGTTACCATAGTTTGCTGAACGATACACGCAATTAAAGCCGTTCCAATAAATATTCAAACTAGTATCATATATATATATAATATATATATAATTTATATATAATATATATTATTTAATAAGTATAAATTTGAGTACAATATATCGTGTTTAGCCCGATCAAACTTTGTAAAATACTCGGGATTCTAGTGGGCTTTAAATTCGTCGCTTCGACCCCCCACATCTTCTAGGCGATATAATTTTAAAATGGAGAGAAGCGCGTTTATCCAACAACAATCGCGAACTACGCCTACAGATCTCATCGCTAGGAACTCTGCGAGCTATGAACTCAAGACGATTCAAGCGACTCTTATACAATTTACCAAGGCTTCAGGTCCAAAGTAAGTGCAAAACTCGTATTTCATTCAAATTTTTGCGATAAGAAAATATAGGAGTGGGGGGCTTGCGCAACTCTTTCGTCATCAAGCTGTGGGCGTTTGTATAGGTTTTATTTACGCGCGGAAACCAACGGTCTCACAGCGGGCTGCTTGCATACATAATGCCTTTTCATTTATGCATCATCCGTTGCAGGCGTTAAAACCAGTTTTCTGCATTTCAGTACGGTCTCTTAATCAGAACGTGGAAGGTAGTTCTTGCCCAAGCGATTTCGGAATTGTCGTTGGCGTAGCACGGTACTGGAGTTCAGCTCAGCCTCAAAACCAAGTTCTGGTAGTCATTCAAACAATGCGTGAAATGGACGCTCATCCCAGGGTAACTATTTTGAGCGATTTCATTTTAGGTTATTACAGCGTCCTATGAGGATTCTACAACGCTATGAAACTTAGTAAAAATGCATTAGTATATCACTAATTACTTCAACCATGCTTCAGATTTTCCCTGGCGATGTAATCACAGAAATATCCTTGAAACCTGTTCCGGAAATAATTACGCCGGAAGTGCTAGATTACTTCCGAACTAAAAAGGATTTTCTTTTGGTAAGTTAATTTTCGGGTGATACATCTGTTGTTAAACGTTTTTGTACATATCAGCAATCCCGTAAATTGCAACCCTGCAATAAAGCGTCACCTTAAGGTGACACATTTGTCGATATTTAATAGAATAAAATTACACAGGCAAGAGAGGAGGGTTAGGCTTGCATGTACAAGCTTTTATATCTAAAAAAATATGTAAAAAACATATCGGAAAATCGTCAATAATATAGCAAACTAAATTACAATGTGGTGTTTTTTAACAGCTTCAGGTGGCACCAGTATCTGGTTTGCGGGTTTTGCGCGGCGGATATGGCTCCAGTGGCGCCGAAGAGGTCGAACGGCTTGAAGACGAACTCTTCAAGAAAATCAAAACGGCCGGGTATGGGACGAAACAATCGTCTTACTTATCGGATTTCAAACTGGAGGAGGCTAGTCGAGGCACTGCGCTTTAAAGCATCAGGTCATGGGGTTGCAAGTTAAGCCAAGAATATGATATAATAAGGATACAAAACTATGCCGGTAGATTATAGTAGACGAACCGATTTTTTAACCATTTAATAAATATGGTACATATGCTATTCCGTGTTAGAAGTACATTTGTATTTTGAGCATTGGCGTTTTGCAGAAGTGAGGCAGCCGCGTTGCAGCTTTGTTGCCATTTTCGTATGACATGTGTGATTTTTGTTTTGAAAAAATTAGCTCGAGTGCATAGACAGGAGGAAGTACTTACGATATAGATACAATACCCTCAATCTTGTAACATAAGATCCCTAGCATCCGGCTAAGAACACATGACCAGGCATTATATAAAAACTACCTGCAATAAAGCCAGAATATTTGCGCTATATTTTAAAGCTCGTGCAGAACTTTTTACAGCCTTAGTAATACACATGTTGCATGTATGTTCATTAATGCGAATCGATTGTGCCTTTCTGAATGGCTGGGCTATCGTTACAATATGACGGGAACTAAAAGCATTTGGTTCTGGCCCATTGGTCCTCCCAAAGCAATCCCAACGGGTTTTAGACAGGTACTTAACGAAAAACGATGAAAAAACAATCAAGATATTCTTGTTGGAATAGAAAGTCATAGAAAGTCTAGAAAGTTATAGGTCAGTGTATCAAAAAGTTGTTGTTACCCCTTGTTAGCTGCCACGTTTTGGGTAGCGCGTGTCTCCACACACTCTATGAAACCCCATAATATACAGAATTTTCAACGTAGAAAGTTTGTTGGAAACTGACAGTGAAATAGGTAAGGCACAATAAGTAAATTCGTACTAGCCAGTATGGCCGGTTTTTTTTTTTCGGTCAGGGATGAGCTGGAACCTAAAGAACTATTTACGCAAACTTATCAAATACTACTTTAAGCGTTTGAGTTACTGCCATAATTACTGCATGCGCTTCGCCAGAGTGTCGGGAGAAAATAGTCTTCATGTGTCTTGCAGTTTTTTTCGATCGGGAGACTTGAGCTTCATGTACAGATGGTTTTTTGAAGATCCATACGGTCTCCTCTAGAGTTGACATCCATCAGTCTATCTACCGCAAATCTCAGTGTGTTACTAATATCAGTAAATTATCTGTTAAACAGCATAGTTTATATCGTGGTTTGTAGATGATGATATAACGCGTGCAATATAGACAATACAGTTAGTACAATATAGATTTAAGCCTGTCGTGTCGTTCAACATTTGAAATCTTGTTAGACCGCACACACGAATATATGTCCCCGTTGGTCTATAGAGCGGATGCCTCCCACCGCTAATATTTCCTTTAGAAGTATACGGTCAGAAATGCGGTAGAGATGATATCAAATAGAATTACAATCTATAGCTACTCCAAATATATTACAGGTAGAGAGTGCAACGGTATTGCTACAATTGAAGGGTGAGCTACTGTCGTGAACTCGTTACAAATTACACGTTTTGGGTTTGGACCCAGCTTCGTACTTGTCGGCGCGCCAGTAAGAATACCTAATAAATATTTTTTTTTAGTATTTTGTGTCGTGGCGTTTTTCTCAACAACCTTCTGATGCTCGGTGGCACTGAACAATTTTGTCTTTGGCGTCTCACTTTGCTGGTAATCAACTATAATTGTCTCAGGAATCTTTGGCCTAATTACTCGCACATACATAATAAACAGGCGCCAAAATATTCAGGTCATATTAGTCTTTAGATTATTGTCCAAACTGATCGATATAAAATGTCTGTGGCATCCGCCCCTTATTGGATACATAATGAGGATCTTGTTGAAAATCAATAGCTTGTTGTATTTCGGAAAGAAATTTCGGATAATATCGTCAACACTTTTAGATGCCAAGTTGCTTAGGACTTCGATTCGCTCAACATGGGTCAGGATGCAGCCTGACGTCCCGCAGGAAACATGTTTCATCCCGTCGGTTTGAATCGTGACCCCTAGATAGGGTAAAATGTAGTAATTAAGGAGCTTGGATTTGTCGTGTTCTTAAGCGGAGCACCGCCCCTGTAGTAAATACTAACGTCCCCTGTAGTAAATACTAACGTGATTTCTTTCAACTTGACGTAAGACAAGATTTGAGAACCAGATAAAGGTCAAAATTGCAATGGCAAGATGAAAAAATAACACTTACGGTTTCCTACGCCTTGCTAAGCTGCTGCGAGTCCTCTATCTTTCACTACAGCGCTGAGTCACTTGATCCATAAGCTTGAAGCTCTTCAGAGACAAGTTCTTTTGGAAACTTAAATTTTCGTTTTGCAAAACATGACCACAAGGTTTGCGAGGCAGTCGCTATTAAGTGATCAGCTATTACCTATAGTCTAAATAACCTATAGTATAAATAGCCTAATACCGATTTCGTGTACTAAAGGTGCACTTGTTCGTCCTTAAGGTCAAAAATATTCGTTAGCTTTAATGCTACTATCCTATAGGGAGTTGCTCTTAGTCAGTTTATTTTGCTGTAGTACTGACCAACCGGACAGGTTCATGGTGTAAGGTCCAGCGAGGTAACATGAAAACCTTAGTGGTAATATTCCTCAAGTCAAGGAGCCAATAACGTAAGTACAACTGAAGAAGGTCACCTTCTAGACTGTAGCTTCAGACGTCCCTGCTCACGTTTCCCCGTATACTGTTGTGTCGATCAGTATTATTCGGTGCGGCTGATCTAGCGATCAGAAAATCAATACCACGATACAGATTTCTCGGTAGTATCATCTCCCATCAAGTCATTTCAATACTGCCATAGTACATGTAACCTATAGTAATTTAGTTGTTTCACATAGATCTTGCAACAATTGCATTTTTGCTCATTGCGTAACGCTATTGTGCATGCACACGTTCGATCTGCATATAGTTCAATATATACCGGTACAGCCCTAATATGTAATTCGGGTTTAACTTCGTCAGGAAAATTTAGGTTAGAAGGTTACCTGCACAACTGAAACCGCTGCTGATCTGTAAATGCTGAGTATTCTACGGTCCAATATTGTTACACGAATGGCGACAAAGATCTTGCATGTAATAGAAGGCCTGTGCAGGTTCGCACAAAGGATATGAGTCCTACTCGAATGTCGATTACTTTTACGTATTGTGACATAATGGACGGATTATTTTTTCGTATTGGACAACGAAAAGGAGTTATGTTGGCGTATGAATAACTAACGTAATAGGTAAATATCTCGCACCATTTTGAATATGTTTGTTTGATTTTTCTACCTACGATAACCAAATTTCATCTCCGAACTTAACTCTATCCACCTTTTTTTAGTTAACCTCTACCAAATATAGGCTGAAAGCTGATTGTGGTCGAAACAGAAATCAAACTTGGGGCAAAACCTGTGAGAGTCGTTCATCCAAAAAAGCTCAGGTATTCCAGCGTTTCTTTTCAGATCGGCGATAAGCCAGTCAAAGGCAATTCCGTGAGCATACTCGTGGTTTTATCATTCTTCACCATTTGTAGTATACGATTATTTATGAGGATATTCGTAAGATCTACAATTACGATATTTCCGTCAGCTGTTTTTATGGGTAGCTCAACATGGTTCCCGAGTGATGTTACTGTCCTCGATCTCTGCAAGGAGAAGATTACTTCGTACATTTTTTATGATGCAAGCTAGATGAGGAAACAGGTTAAGAGACTGGTGATTGAGTGTACTGCATTAAGCCAATATTAAAAAATGTATGTATTTCTTGAGAAAGAGCTCAAGGCGCTGAATAAACTACACCAAAGTTTCGAATACACCTTTCTCGAAACCTCTCGATGGAATCAACTATACAATGTTTCGAAAATAAATATCTTGTATATCCTCATTTTTTTTTATTACAGCTATCGATATTTGTTTGGAAGATATTTGCTACGTTGGAATTTCGGGCTTTTGGGTTTAGCTGAAACCTGCTACGGAAGCTCGGACAAACGAAAGCTTTTCCACGTATCTGTTATTTGGTAACGGAAACAAAATTTAAAAAACGGAACAGTTACTGATTAAAGATTTATTTAAAGCCGTTATATAATAAAATGTAATGAGGCGTTATGATTTTGCAGAGTCTCTATAATATATTCAGTTTAGCGATGTTTTGCTTAAAGCATCTAATTAATGATTCATTATGTAAAATATTTTTTAAGAATAACTTGGAATATATATGATTTTTATTAAGTGAAATCGTTGCTGTCACCCTAATCGCTCAAGTAGATGAATCAACTTGAAAAGTTTACAAATAGGTATTACATGAATCTCTACATATTGTAGACATATTGAATGGCTTCTTTAAACGACTTAGTTAAAAGTGAATAGTATCGGCTCTTGGCTTTTATGTGTCCTTCATTTGTTTGTCAGCTTTGAGCAACCAGCCGTCTTATGTAAAACTTAGCGCCCACACCGGAAGTACTATTCGAAACATAAAAAGCTTTCAATCCCGACAGTCTTAGCTTTTTTGTGCATACTTCTGCCAAGACAGACCATATAGAAATCTCACTTTACGTTTAACCTGTTGTATTATCTCAAAATAATACAGAATCACGTATACAAGAATGATTGGAGCACAAAAATGAACTAGTCGACGCGTGCGAGTACGTAACAGAAACTTTATTTTTCCTTTTACTAACTAATTAATTAACTTTAATAATCAACAGTTGAACGGAACCGTTGAACGGCGCAGCAAGCCTTCACAACAATGAATTGGCTTGCGGCTACCTAAAAGGCACAGGATAGGTTAAGTTGATCCAAAATTATACGCACCAGACAAGTATCACCAGTAAAAAGAAAATATTTTAAAAAGATGGGCTTTTATCCAGTATCAATCATAATCTGACACAGCAAATGGCAAAAAGAAATGCGGCGACCTTCTTCAGTAAACAAAAATGAACGAAGTTCCTTAACCCAGTCAAGATGCATCCTAATCAAACACCGTATTTTTTTTATCGAAAATCAGTTTGACTTGCCTTATTCCTACGGTAACAACTGCGTATGGACCCGAACGGATTTTGAATGTTTTTTTTTGATATGTTAATAAGAATCAGGCTGGTCACACACATATATAGTATGTTGAAACGAGGAACTAGGACGAAATCAGCAGTAGCATTTATCAGTTATATACCAAATATATGAATTGATGCTTATTGTACACCTAAATTTCTAATTTCTTCAACCTGATTTTAATCAAAAAAAAAAGGTAGGGAAACTTCCTGCCTATGAATTTCGGCTCTAGAACTAGTTTACAAGAGTTCCACTTAGTTTGAGGTACGTATCATCGAATTGACTGCTAGACCGATGGAAATCGTCAAGTTCCATCATTAAAATAATAAACTACATGATTTTTTGATTCAACTTATTACAGAATTGGCCTTCTTTGTAAACGCTAGAAGCGTTTTGTCGCCGATTTAATGTTTTTGCAAAAAAATTTATGTACAATTTGATGTGTATGCTGTACACGATATCAGCTACCTCCGGGGAAGACAGTATTAATGAAAATATAAGCGTAGATTACAACTTCCTTACGTTGTAAAATATAACGTTACTATGGGTAGCGGACGCTTTGGTAAAAAGAGTAGGTGCTATATAACAAATCATATCTGTTGCGGCTAGAGTTGTTCCGTTTTCTTTTTGTATTTCGGGAGAAGCGCACTCATGGAAAACACTAGCCTTACTCGGACTAAGTTGAAGTTCACCAATTCAAAATTCGCAATTGAAGGCAAAAAAATTTATTGCAGGGCGGATTTGTTGACATTTTATTGAACACATATATATATATATATATGTATATATAATTAAGGGTGTAAAAATACATAATAGGGTTTCAACACTCCGGTATGTATTTTTATACCTTTCAATTTTACTTTAAATTTTTATTAGTAAATAAGGGATCAAGAAGGTCTGGTTTTTGGCCATGTAGGAACTATAATCGATAATGCTGCGAACATAGGCCGGCAGGGAAATTTATCTTATGAAAGTTAAGCTACTACGATGAAGTGAAGCTATTGATCTTCAGTATCAATATTTTGTAACTTATGAAAAATCTTTTGGAATTGGGGCGTGAATACCACCGGACCCGGCACACTGGCGGGTGATCGTTATATAGAATTTTAATTTTGCAAGCCCGTTGTAGTGCAGTGACAATTTTGCATAAATGTCCATCCTTGGTGGCTACACATCCGCTTATGAATGCATGCTCATTTAAAAACGAACGTGTGGGTGATGCTCACTTAACGAAACCATACGCCACAAACGCCCGTTCAAAATCCTATGGTATCGCATGGCCGAGAATGAAATAAAAACTCTGAAATTTATCGACACTCTTAATGGCCGATCTTATGGGAAAAGAAACAACAAAAGATAATGCAGGGTAGTTGTGAATTATAATGATAATACTCGATAAATAATTTCTTTGGGATTAGAAAAAGTTCCTCCATTATCCAGTACCGTATCATTCCATTGAACGTACCAAAACTCATATAGGCATTTTCTCACATTTGCTTCTCAAAATAAAGTTAATTTTTGAGAAACTGAAATAGAAATTGAGGTTATGTTCTTCTTTCGGGGTTTTCCTTTTCTGGCAAGTATGATGGAGGCGCTTGTTTACGTGCTGAAATCTAAAAGTTAGTTGTTTGGCTTTCGTTTTAGAACCTGCTACTATTCGTAAAATACGAAACTTAAGAAATTGATGAATCTGGAATATAGCTTGCTTATCCCGCTAAATTGCGTTCCACGAAAAATCAAATAGGATGATTTCTCTGTAGGCTTTAGAGTCCGGGCACAGCTTGTTTATATTCATCAGGGCCACCCATCTTTACTTTTAAGGTTTAAAATGGTTTACTTGACGATTCCCAAAGTTAACAGAATATTCCGAAGCATCGCCTTTGGGAACTTTGAAGAACACGTATCGTATCACCGATAGAGCGAAGCGTTGTTTAACGAAACTTGATAATTGGGCCGTCTCGTCCCAAAGGTGAGCCCATCGTCTAACCGTGTGATTGCTCATTTCACCATAGGCTTACATATTAAAAAAGATGGTTTTAAAGGCTGACACTTCACGAAGTAAGTTTTCATGGCGAATGTTAAGAATGAATCACATTGGACTTCCAGGTTCGAACACCAGCGTTTACAGGTGAGGCCGCTCTGTGATTCACAAATCATAGCAGAGCATACACCGGCGTATTGCCCGTCTCTACATTGACTACGTAATAGATATTCCTTCTTTTACCCGCAATTTCTTTTTAGTAGAAGCTGTACGTCAAACTATATTGATGCAATGTAACGAGATGCAAGACAGCCGATGGTCTAACAAATGACGATATGATTAGCGTCCTATTATTACGTGATATGTGTTAGTTACCTAAAGTTTAGTTTTTCTCAATTTCGAAAACGCACCTACCACAGTGGAAATTATATATTCTTTATATGGCTATTTTTTAGTGCCGAAATTGTATACGTTGCAAGTAAAAGGTTGAACTTTTTTTCAGGCACAAATGTATATGAGCGTGGAGGATATAGGTTATGATCGTGCGTACAACGTCCAAGCTCAAAAGCATCGTCGCATGGCCGTCGTAGTCGTTCGACTTAAGACCTCTGGGAATATTTCATTTACAATTTTTGGAAGACAGAACAATACCTTCTATGATTGATGAACTAATGCAGCCCGAATAACTACATAAACAGTGTTTTATAGGTGTATTTCTCATCAGTCACATAAGGATATCTCTGGCTGGTCATTTGTACGATGCTGTACAGGGTGCGCCAAAAATTTGTTTATAGTTTCAAAAAAAGTCTCTTAGCACTTAGCGGGAGATATACGATTATTATAATGACAACTAATTGAAACGCGCAACATATTTGTAACAAAGGCACCCAAACCCTAATTCCTATTGTAAGCCGTATTGTTAGTACACATTTGAAATTCAATATACAAATTTACAACGGGTATTTAGCTGCAGAGACGCAGAAACGCGCATGGCACATACTCAAAACGTAAAAGTGGGAACTAATTGTTGCTTGGTAGGGTATGGTGGTCAAACGCTGGTTAAGAGCGCTTTCAACATGCACCGTAGTACGCCCTGTAACATGCTTGTAGCAGAGTATTATACAAATCCTTGTCCATAACTCAAGTTTTTTATTGTAATAATTTGCTTTTTTGTTACTTTAAAAGATGTTAAACGAAGACCTTTCAATTGGGTAGAAGACTTCTTTCAAACTGTTAAGAGATTTAGATCTACCGACTAAGTTGTTGATTCTAACATATACTTAAGGTAAATTTTTTGTTAAAATCTTCAGGAAGAGACGTAGCAAAAGGGAGTAGATTTACCGGTTGTGCTTTTTTCGATTTTCCTTTTTTGTTCAGTGGAGTGCACCTTTTTTTTTAGAAAAAACGGACTTCTTAGAAGTTCGTAATACAACTATGCGAGGGAAGTCATGAGAAATCGAAAAGTAAGTGGTCTAAGGGTCTCTGAATCGTTAGTTAGTACCGCCATACGTGTTTCACCGACTTTGCACCAAACTTTCCTACCAGAAACAGCTATTGTGGCAAATTAGGACAAATATGAAACACTGAAAGGAATAAGCTAGAGTTCGCGACATAATGCAAAAGTAAACCTTGCAATCCTTAGAATGCAGTCTTAGAAGGTCTTGGACTACTGACGTATACATATTGCATAGCACGAGCATCGCAAGCATATCTATCTCTATACAAATAAATAAAATCATAACGGTCACTGTCTTTATTCAATCCTCAATCAGACAATTGAATAAGATTGCACCGAAATTCAATTTCATTACTGCTTGTCCTATCGAAATTCGTACTATAATTCCAAAGAAATTGTTAACAAGAACTTAAAGATAAAAATGAACAGATATATTCACAAGGGCCTAAATTTATTAAACAGATGCAAATTTCCATGGATTTCGTTCAAGGGAAAAGTATTTGTCTCTGCAACAATTTTTCTTACAACAACTTTTTAGTTGTTCCGCGAACAAGTTGCTACTTAAAACGAATTATTTTTACTTGCTTGCTTCGCCTGTTGTATCTTTTTTCTTCCCGACGGTATTCCTCCGACTGTTAACGTCGAACAGAGTTTTTTGTCGGGAATGAAAGGTGACGACAACCTTAGGCTATATAACAGCAAATACACTTGGATTTTTTGCATTGACGCCCCCTTGAATGCAACATCCGATAGAGTTTTCGTATTCTCGTTGGCCTGCTGTATAGTACTGCCAGTTTTTTGTGACTATTGTGTTTTTCTTTGATGGCGAATAAGATCGACGTCACGACAGGGAAGACGCAAAGAAAACTGAAATATTGGGCTATATAGGAATTTGTTATGGGCATATTTTAATATACGAAGTATTTTAAACAGCAATGTTGAACAAGCGTTGTAAATAAGTGGGAACTGTGGGAATTAAATTAAGTTACTTGTATCCTACAGGTCATGTGTTCGTTTGGCTTGAAAGTATTATTAGACAGATCGTTTGGCCTATGATAAACACTGATCTAGGTTAAAGGCCAGGTTACGTCTTCCCTAAATCAATCTACATTATATGTCGTTCAAACAAAAAAAATATAGGGTTTTTGCAGGCTCAACAATAAATTATATTTTTAGGTACTTTTAGACTAGTTGTTTTTTCTACCTATCAACCTACTTGGTATATAATTATAATCCTGCTTTTATCCGTCTGTATGACTCAAATCGACATCTTAGGGTTGGATGGATACTTGATTTAAGAACAAAGTTTCTTTTCTCGATGAGTAAAACGTCAATCGGGGCAAATTGATATTCTTTGCCATTTTCGTGACCGTTGACGACGATTTCTGAAGTAGCTATATCAAAAATTGTTTAACAAGGAAGACAATTATTGTCGAACGTGAGTCTTGACCAACTTGCTGGAAATCACGAAAATAAGCCTATCGGGACGTATTTTCCAGTATTTTTTGGGGGTATACTTGCAGCGTTTGTCGTAATCATTAATAGCTACTGAGTCATGAACCGTCGCGTTAAGCAGACGGATATTTTCACACTTTCTGTATACCGTAAAACGTAGGACTAACTTTGGTAATCGCTAAAGTCTAAGTGTTTATATTGAAAATTGTTGGTTTTTTCAGATCTACATGAGAATTACGTTAATACACGAATGTAAATATCGAAATAGTTATGAATTAACAATTCAAACCATGTATGAATAAACAAGTTTACTTCAATGATTGATAATAATCTTTCCAGGTCTTATACAGACGGTGTTAGGAGTGCCATCGTTGGCACTTTGTTGCAAAGTGTTTAGTTCAACCCTCTTATTGTCTTCTACCTAAGAAAAAACACACATCTTCATAAAGCTCGATTTGAACGCGAATCCGAAACTTCACGGATTATTTTTAAAGTACTTCGTCCAGAGTTCAGAGATTATATTTCCGATTCTCCGAGTATGAAAGTACGGTAGCAGAACCCATGCAGCGATCGTGCACTGTTTGGAGAAAGCCCATATACTTCATACACGAGACGTTTTGCCGAAGTCAAGGGTTTTGTAGGTTGTAGACAAAGGTCAACGCGTGCGGACTAGAAAACTACGCCACAACGGATTGTTTGATTATCTTCCAAGTGCCGTTAAAATTCGCTCGTCGATGGAATCAGTCGAGTATATTACGAAAGATACCCTTGAAAGGGGTTTCATAGTAATATTTAGGGTCGACAGAGTCGACAATTGCAGTGGTCGATGCATTTAGCTATATTCAGCAGTTGCTTAAATTAAAATTCTAAGCTTCCCAAACGATATCCGCCCATCTGTACATAGCGCAGGTGTTCCCCAGAAAGCGCGAAAAAATCAACAAAGCTTATGCCAGCCGTGGCTTGTTGTAAAAACGACTAATTGAAAGTATTACTCTAGATCGATATATTCGCATTGAATACCAGGAACAGCAGAAGAGAGGGCCTAGTAGTTTTTCCGTTTACTATTAAAGATTATACTCTCGCGCGCCTACGCAGCAGTAATCCACGTTGGTAAGTTTTTTCTATTTGCTACTTTGCTTAAGCAGAAACCTAAGACGGTTGCTGGCATAGTACAGTGAAAGATACCGAACGAACGCAAATGTCTCCAACATCCAATTGTGATTTTGACGACGAAGAGACTACTAACCCATCTAGCATTTGGAACCGTCTTGACAATTAAATAACTCAAGATACCAACCGTAAGTAACAGCTTTCGCAGCAGGTAAGACTCATCTACCCTCAGCTGTACGTTGAATTACTTCGCAGCCAAGTTTGCAAAGGCGGTAGGAATTTCTACTTTGAGGTTGCCTGTAACGAAAGGTAGTATCCGTTGTATATAAATATAAAACTCAACCCTTAATATGTAATTAAAAGATTTTAATGCCGATTACCCCTAGCTTTTATTGGGCATTACTGACAATAAAGCTGTTTATGTAACTACATTATTAGAGAACACGGGGATCCATCGCGCAAGGTATTGATATCATTTGAAAATTCGATGGACACTTCTCTCTGAGATTTCTGCTAAATTTCTGAATGCTCTCTGAAAATTTCGAAATCTGTCATTTGAAAGATACTGACGCGATCAATTTCCTTGCGGAGTTCTTCAGGACTCGCAATTTAAAACTTCGCCAGTTATTCTATTGAAAAACATGTCCTTCTAAACGGCACAATGATATACACAATACTTTTTTAACAAGGCGTCCCTTACTGTGCCGTAGCATTCTGCACAGAAATCTTGGCTATAGATCTACTAACAAGTCTTTAAGCATTACCAAAACAAGTTATTTTGGACGCTCTTATACAATTACCCTTTTTAAATGAACACTGATAAAGCTAGATAAACGGGGCGAGATTCGCGGCCTTGTCTATGAAACAGACATGTATCTTATTATGTTTACTATGTCACATGTGGGTTTATGCATTTCTGCAGCCAATAATTGTTTTTCCTCTTTGTAATTTGTTAACTCGCAAAACTCACCCTTTAAATATAGCCTGTTTTTGAACACATATCTATTGTATTGCGTAAATAGAATTCTCAAACAGATTCATTGAACTATCACAATTTCAAAACCAAGCCATCAGAAAGGCATACTGATAATAACTACCGGAAACGATAATTAGAAATTAATAATTCAAGCATCTATTAATACCCTAAAAAGCCCACGCCTTAACTTCCGGATATTTGGTAAGTGTACATATATATATATACACACTTGTTTAAACATTCACCACATGAAACAAATCGTCCGCTTTTGATTTGTTCCATAAAATGTATTCACACTTCAAAAAAAAAAATTAATTGTTGTTTAGCCTATTGCATCTGGACATGTATGAACAGGATGCCATTGTAGTATAGGTGTGGTATTGGATGATCCTGAGACACGCTTTAAATCTGTTCCTTATCGCAATAATTTGAGTGTCTCCTGCTACCCAATTCGTTGGACTTTTCGCATACCCTGTATATATAAATTAGTTTGAAAAACTTATCACTAGTTGTGAGCTTCTCTATGAATATACCTTTAGAAAGAGCTCTTCGTACCCTAGCAGCGTGTTGTAATGGTATTAAGTCATGAGAACAACTTCAATTCGAAGGAACTTCTCGAACATGGGTGTTCGAAGAGGAACAGCGCATTTTTGGTACCTGATATATTGTGCATAACGTCGAGGCCAAAATGTTGCTGAAACAAGCCGGCACATCTGTCTTGAATGCGCCACGATACTATAGTTGAAAGAAGTGTTCAAGAAGGGAGAACCCAAGTTTAACAATAGTACTCAGGACCTAGAGGATGCCTACCTACTGTCTTGGCAACCCGTCTGAATTTGATGGTAACCGTCTGAAAGCACTCTTGAAACAAGACGGCCAACATTCTAGACTTAGTTCCGCTAAAACAACTAAGTCCTTTTGAGTTTACACAGAAATTTAAAGCTTGCGACGTCATGAATTTTCTTACACCAGTAAGGAATTACCGCTGAAAGCTACGTCGCCACATCTCGGCTGATATGTAGCCCAACGCGACCAGATTATTACTACCGGTGACGAGAGGTGTTGCTTATACGTCAACCTGAATCAGATCGAAACGATTGACCCCAGAAGAAAAGCTAAGGCTCAAGGTCCAACCAGATTTTTATTCTTCTTTTATGCTTCTTACGAACCAGACGAGTTGGTCGGCACGTTTACTTAGTCTGGTTGATTTAAGTTAACTAGAGCTTATTCAAGAGAAAAGAACAGGTAAACGAGGCCAAGTTACCCTGTTCCATGATAATTCAAGGCCGCATACGACATACCATCAAAGCTGCGCTCTTGGATTACTTCCGTAGGAAGTTTTATTGCACCCTTTATATTTTCAACTTTGTCCGACGGAGTTGCAATCAGGAAACTGAGTAATCATTTTTGCGGCCTTATCTTCGTTACGGCCCAAGAACTTGAAGCGTACTTATTATTATTACTTTGTCTCAAGGCAAAACCCGCTATCTGCTGGTATAACGGCATATTTAACTCATTAAGATATTGCAAATTGTCTGTCCTTTGTCCTGAACTTCTAATGCTTCTAACTTAATGCACATTAGATTGAGCTGTATTACTTTGCCATACCATATTTGTCATTGTTTAGGAGCTGAGGCCCCTGTTTTCTATAACGAAAAACGCGAAGATATAACAAAAATTAACTTGATAAGCTCTTGCAAATGCAATCAATATAATCCTATATAACAATATGATAAGTGTAATTAACTTCACAGAGTGAAACTTTTGTGGAACTTGGATACACTATGCTGTTTCAGATATGATCTACAGAGGTTACTTCTCGTCGAATAGAGGTTAAGTGTTATTTTTGAAGCTGACATACACTGATGTAAGGTTATCATAGTGAATTATGCGCTTATAAGCAGCTATGACAGGTATACCACTTGGCAATGACTCCCACCATGTGCTCGTTTGCCATAGGCTCGCTTGGAATTAAGCGATGCATAGAAATAGCATTAGGCGAAGCTTCGAATGATCCAAGTGAGCATTCATCTTGAGCTATAGCCAGTCAATGTTTAGCTTGCTTACGTAACGCGTACGTTTTGGAAGAAGTTATGAGTAAGCGCCAGCGGAGTTAAGTGCCGTATAACAGCACTGGTATGGGGAACGTCAGTTATCTTATAAGCCAAATACCTATACACTTTGCAGAAGCTAAATATGGATGTTAAAGGATTATTGATTTGCTTTATATATATACAAAATTTCATCTGTTATTGCAGAATTCTGACTAGCGTTAATTCTGTATAATTAAAATCCTATTTGTAAAGAGTCTTTTGAAATCGGCTTTTTACCTTCGAGGAATTCTAAAAGCACGTTATCTATAAAACGAGAAAGAAGGAAACCCCAACGAGGTCCAAATAAACCTAGATAAAACGAAAATTGCTGAATACGTCCAACGAAACAACGAACGTCCAATAAAGATTACTTTGACACCAAATAATGAATTCGTATTATTACTAATACTATTCTAATAGTAGTAACGCAGCGGAAAAAGAAGTGGGTGGGTGAGTGATGTTACATTTCAACGAGTTTGGATAGGGAAAATCTAAGCAGACGAAGTAGGCGACTTTGTTTGGCAGATATTACCGACACGGTTTCGTGTCGTGTGAATAAAAGGATTATATAACATCAATAGCTACTAAGTTAAAAGTAACCTACACAGGCTACATCTACAGCTTAGAGAATATACCCCCCGGGGAAAGGCACTTGACCTAATCGTTCATCCAAAAACGAGCCGCATGTTCGTCGAAAGATGCCGTAAGCTTATTCTAATGTGGACTTTTGTTTTCGCCATCCATAAACCAAGATATGTTGCGCTCTGAGAAACCGACGAACAAACGTAACTAACTGACGACGTTTAATTGAGTAGAATTTTTGTTTGTTTGTAGGCTCGTAGCTGTCATGTTCAAAGCAATATAGATGCTACCATTAAATACAGGGCTATAATATCAACTATGACCATCATTAGTGTGAAACCGCGATTGTCGCACAAAATTCCAACATTTTTAAACCAAGACTTTTACGGCCAAAGAAACTGCTTGGAGAAGAATACTGCAACGTATGACCCTGCATTGTGCCTGACGTATGTTAGGACCACCACATCTTAGACAGATATACGCGGTGTCCGATAAAACAAAAGCATATATACTACATTAAATGTGCTAAAATCCTTGCGCTGCAAGGCTGTTTAGCTCTGTTCGCTCCTCTTAGAACGACATTGTTCCTATGTTATAAAAGTCAAGATCGGTTTTAGCCATCACTAACTTCACAAATAAGCAGGAACACCGAAAGCTTTAAATCTGCGTCTCAAGTCCTCTACATCGCCCTAAAGGATGCATATATAGCATGAGTAGTCAACGATGGACAATGCTATGCCATGACACGTTTAAGAAACGCGTGTTTAATTCAATTGGGTTTTTTAAGTTGCACCGATAAGAAAGATCCGCACATTACCTGGATGATATAGAAAGCAACTATGGCTAGTTTAATTTCAACCAGGACCAATGTCGTTCGTATAGAAAGTTTCTGAGGGGGTCAAATATTCACTCTACCTACTGCCGCTGGTTATGCCCAGCCTGTGATGTGCGCTGCAAAGGCTATATCTTTCATAGGTAAAATCACACCTAGGTATTTCAAACCGGTCCCGTGATTCAAGGCGATTCTATCTATATGGGACGTCTCGGTAACAGCAATATAGAATTCGTAGTCAGTCTTCATACCCTTCCGCTTGTCCATGTCCATGACCACCCGTCTTGCCTCACCCATGCATAGGGAGAGTCTTGCGAGATGTCATTGGATACGAAACCAACTTCTTCCAAAGATGACAAAATTGTCGAAAGAGCAACGTATCTCAGATTCTAAGGCAGAATAATGCAAAAAGCATGAACTTATACAATTACATTGCGCTATGCCGGTTGACAAGATGAATGGTTCAAGATGGACTAACTAATTTTTCGTGTAAAATCGCTCTGATCAGAAGACTCCCGCAATCTTTATTAAGATACTCTCTCGGGGCGTCATATTAAATGCCGATTTACAACCCATGGGCGAAGCGTAAAACGTCTGCTTTGATCATGGATTGTAAATTGCGCGATAGACACGGTGGATCTCTTGAAGTGGTATGTCGCGTGCCGTAAAAGTAGAACGTCAACGCGGAATCTGTGCTGTTCTGTCGGGATACGTAAACAAGCTTTCAGCAATCCCACCAGACACCACATGAGATAGGCAAAAAGCTTGCAGCGGTAGCTTTTCTCGCGATCGCCCTCTATAAAGATGGTTTGTGGAGATTGTCTGTTTTTTTGGAAACGATGCTTGGCGGAGCATCACTGCAGTTTGTTGACAGGCGTTCATTCTATAGGCAGCCACTGAATATATTTGGTCCAACAGGACTATGGAACCAATAGGACAGGATAGAGTTTGTTAAAGATGAACCGGTGGGTAAATAAAACATTAAAGCAAATTGTCTCTAACTGCCAGCTTCTCTCGGCAAGGACCTATTGTAAAGAAATGTCTGAGTTCGGGGAATTAAATTGTTGCTTGTACTATGTAGGCGTATCATAGACGATTACTAGTATGGTCGGCGTCATCCTAATATTTATCATAACTAATTTTATCCTGTAAAGTCATAAATACATCTTTTGACAAGAATATTGCAACTTAACATGACATAGGACACCGAAACAGGGTAAAAATGGAACAAAAAATCGAGTTATTAGGTTGTTACTAGCGAATTTATCGATTTCAAAGGATTAAATGACTTAACTACTGATATTAACAGTCACAGTTTGGCTGGTATGTATTTCAGGCTTCCAGCAAATGAGCTTACAAAAATAGTTTCGAAAATCAACGGGCCGCAGCGCCGCGGAAACTATTAAAATATTGTTGAAAACATTAGGCAAGGAGACCATAAGCGAAAGCACAGTAAAACGGTGCAAAAGTTTCAGACTGAAAGGTTGGGTGTGGAGGATCAGCGAGAGGCTGACTAGATGCTGGGGCACTAAGAAACAGAATACATTGCTGTAATCGAGAGGGCTTTTCGTCAAAGCAAAGGTTCGAATCTGCGGACTCCGTCGACCCGAATTGGCATGTTACACAAAATGTTTCAGAATTCTGATTTAAATACTGAAAACGAGGAAACTCGTTGGAAATTTGACAAATGCCACCCGCTACATCGGGTTCTTCAGCATATCCAGACCGTTGTCGCGGCAATCGAAGGCGTGGAGTGCGCTGTGTGCAAGCAACTAAAGAAAAGTACTTGTACCATAAGTAGAAAAATTAACACCTTTTCCATAAATGTGACCCAACGGTTTATAGAAAAATGTGTTAGCATATGCCATACAAATGGGAAGCCTTGCATATTACCTTACGCATTCTTTACTGATTTTTATTAAAGAAAACGTTCACCATATTTGGTCTGAATGAAAGGGACGAAATTCAAAGAAACTATCTGTTCCTAAAAAAATAATAGTTTTTCGTGAAAGAAAATTTTTCGCAGAAGTAATATTGTGAATTTTAGACAGAACTGCGCTTAGGTAGAACACTTCGCCAAACAATAGTCATCTATCTAGCAGAACGATAGTGCAGCCTTGCATCGGACTTTTTACAAAAATTTCTGTCCTCGCCGTCGCTGTTGATGATAGAAGTCCTTTTCTCGTATTGCCTCTAAATCGCCGATAACCACAGATGTTTCGAATAATTGTATTTTCAGCTCTTTGACCAAGAGGACTGAGTAAACGCGGCCTAAGCGCACAGGGACCGTAAAGGCAAATGTTCACGATACTGATATATAGCAATAAGACGAGAGCTTAACCATATATCTGTCAACATGTGGCATACGCGCCAATGTAGCCCACCGAGAAATAGTCACTAACTTCGGCTTGGTCGCCTGTCTGCATAAATAAGATTATATGGAGGCCGTAATGACTATCCAGTAGAAGTGGAACACTTTTGAATTAGGTTTGGAATACATTGAACGCTAAACTCGTGCACACTGAAGGCAGAATTATCTCGTATTCATGGTCATGTTGGGGTGCAGAGTCGTGAGTGAACTCTGGATTATAAGGGAATGAATTAATCTTACCCAACCATTTTTCCATTTAATTCCCCATGTGACTAATCTCATTTTAAAGGTATGTTGTAAGACATTGTTAAGCTTCTGCTATTTGTATATATTCTGTATTTATAGACTAGCTACATAGCTAGTAGGTCAAGTGAGCACTTGGCTAGAGCTCTGCTAGAACATACTAAACATCTGTAACGTTTGTACCACAGTTCTAATTCGCGAAAAACTTCAGTGACTATTTCAGAGGCTCCAAGTAGACAAAATTCGAGTTAGAAAATTATTCTCTCTCTATTATATTCAAATTCCGAAGATAAATCTGCAACATTGTCACCCACGCATTTCGCCTACCCAGCTAAGGTAATAAAAATTGGTCACCTTTAATTGAGGGCTCGCCAGGGGTATACAGGAACATGATAATGATGTACAATGGCGTACAAAAGACGAAAGAACGCGCGAAAGTAGACGCATCCTAGAAGCCGAGATATGGTGCACGGCTAGCTTCTCATGCATCTCGCAGGCTTCGTCCAAGCTGACGACAAATAGTAGTCACAGTACCGAAAAAAAATCAGGATCAGTACGCGTTAGGTCTCATAATGGCCGCAGTTCATAAGCTATACAATCGTCACCCGTGAATAATGGAGAAATAGCTCATCAACATTAGGGCCTAAAATAATTATATCTTTTATAGTGTCAATAATCGTAGCAGTTGTCACCACACCTATACTAGTTTGCTTAAAAACCTGCATTGCAGGACCCGTAGAAGACAGCCAAATTATATTTCGTTTCACCTACATATACTAAATTCGGGCAGATCGATTGAGTTACTCAGTGTTTCATATATACACATATATATATATAGCCGTTACTGGTCATGACTCATTAAAAAACGTTTCTCTACACGGTTTACGCGGGTGTTAACGATAGAAATGGTTTACCCAAGAATTTCGATGTCCTTGAGACTAACTCGTGGAATTCCAGCTCTCGTCGCTACTAGTCCCGTTACGAACACGTCTTCCAGACTAAGTGGTCGGGTATTCAATGCCGTCTCGTACAAAGGAGCCAATGCCTTTCCACTGATTACATAAAGACAGCCTAAATAAACCCATAATATATATATATATGTATAAGTATGTATAACTATAGTGCCACGAATAAAACATGTTTGTTATACTTGAGAAAACTAGTTGTGTTAAAGAAAGAATTTACGATTATCATCCTTTCGTTCCTATACTCAGACTAGATTATTGATTTTCACGTCAGACAGAATTCTACGAGGTCTATGTATCGGGCACGTAAACTATGTTTAGAGTAAATACATCGGTTATATCCTCCCTATTCTCCATTTTGAAACAGACGTTACCCCTGTCTATAAGCAGGAATGAGTGAAGTTTGTCCGAGACACGAGATCAGCAGCCTCTCAACGGAGATGAGCGGCCTCTCGGCGGAGATCAGCGGATTCTCAGATGTTTAGTGATACATTTTGTGATGCATAAGACAATTTTAAACATAGTAAAGCTAAATGATCGCAATTTTCCTAGTAGGGAACATTTGCGTGCGTGCCTCACCTGACACAAAGTTAGGATACAGCTTGTCAGGATATTCCTTTTCCGATACGGCCCATTTGTCGTTCTTCATACGACGCGGAGCCTGAAAATAAAAAAATCGTCCAACATTCACTAGTTGAATCATCAGCCCCTCAACGTACGCACATGTCAGTTTGCTGCTTAGTAAGAAGTAACACTAACATCGTCCATTGGCTGATGATAATTATTTTTTGTGTAATTTTTCAGAACAACTTATCTTGCAATCACCGTTTAATACATACTCTATATGATATACATTCACATTCCCCGTCGTATATTCTAAAAACAAATAGGGGTCCAACAAAAACAAATAAGATAATACTTGCTAACAAAGCCTATTTCAAAAAAAAACATGTTGAGTACTCTATGGTGGTACCACGTGGATTAATTCGTATCCCGCAATGACTGGCTTGGAAAAGTTCGCCTGAAGTGACTGCAATTCAAGACGCAGCTTGCGCACGTTGACAATCGTATCATCGTCTGCTTTCACCTTTAAAGCATTTTGATTCAAAATTAACTTCCGTTGTATTATATCCATAGTTGATTACATAAGTACAAATATCTTCGACAATATATTCTACGAGGAGGAAAAAGGGTGTAGGAATACAATTGTGGTTCAATAAGAAGTAGAAGAATTTAAACCGTTGATACACCGACCAAATTGTTGACTATGGGAGTTTACCGTCTTTATACGAGTTAACAAATAAATCGTTGTATATACATGTGCTCTTGAACAATTTTAATAAAATTAGCAATCTAAAATGTATGTTTCATTAATAAGATACAAACCAGATAGGTCGGGTTGAATTTAGAGGCCCAACGCAACATTAGAACTGTCTTTAAGGAGGCATTACGAAACGTATCTTTGAAGTCGAATTGGACTATATCGCCATATTGAGTGTGCTCTGTATTCACCAATTTCTGGAAGTATCTAATGTTATATACAACAGATAATACAGTATAAAAAACTGGGCTGACTATAGTCTCGTCTCGAAACAGTGCAAGGACTTCCGTTATGAAAATACCTAGTTCCTCCGAATCGACTAGACGATAACGCAAAATTTCGAAGGTTGCTATTCGGATGGTCATCGTCGATTCTGTGTATTTCATCGCTTGAACATTTAAAGCTATCCTTTTTTTCAGTGTTTAGAACTGACTGTATTTCAGATCTTCCAAGAAGGAACACCACGGCGGCCTCTGCTCCATCGCTGTCCCTAAGACCCTTGGCCCACGTATCTCTTATGGCGGATCGTCGAAGCCTATTCATAATTCCCGAGGCGACCACGACTAAATAAGGAATACCCTTATATACACCTTTTGGTCGCAACAGCTCTGTGTAGTTATAGTTACCACTGAAAATCAATAATGCTATAGTTAAACATGATCAAGCTGTGAAACGTTGTCAATGGAAGAGTTTTTGTACCCGCTAAATCACGTATAGCAGATGATGTATTTGTATAGCAAATATATTAATCTGACGGATGGAGTTTACCGACCATTCTTCTTTTTCTAAAATTATTAGCAATCGGTGAAATAGTTACAGAATTTTCTGCAAATTTATTATTCAGTTAAGGACGGTTCGTAAATCGATATTCAACCACCACCTCTTGAAGCTTTTCATCCAAGAATATGTCGTATTGTCGTCCCAAATATAAAAGGCAGCACTTCGTTTCCCTGCGGAGAAGATCTGCAAAAGTTTCGACTGAGTAATCTGTAGGTATCGCATGTAAATGACACATGAAAGTGTGTTAACGTTTAATACGATATTGCGAAACAACAAACTTTCTAACATCTAGGCGAGCATTTTTCAAGCTCGGGACAGACATTTGCAAAGGTACTATAGGCCTCCTCTTTACTCGTGCACAAGTAAACTAACGTACCTGACGAAGGTTGCTTTGTTTTATTATACAAATAATTAAAAATAATCCCACGGCAAGAGCGCATACAAAACGTTTTCTCTTCAAACGTTGACTTAAGCGGCGCTTCATTGTCCATTACTTTGACTGCACAATGTTTGATTATTGTAGACTTTCTTACTTCATTGTTTGGGGCTTATCTTTAATAATGGCCAAATATCCAAGTGTTGGAACGGTTTTTTCTGCACCTCAGAACTTCATTATTGCCTGAAAGACACAGATACACGCACACGCACGAACAACACAAAACACGGTGGTAAAATGCTTGTCCGCATAAAACTTTGAAATGTCAGGACGTAGTTAAGTTGAATAGTAGAAATTGCTTGTCTATTGTATTGTACCGCATAAAAGATAAGCGAAGCAAAACTACATTTTGACATCTGTGTTTCGTTACGTTATGCATTCCCAAAGTAACTTTGTTCCAGGTGAACTCGTCAGTCGAAACGACATAAAGTTACTGCTGCTTGCTAGCTTCACTCTGTATGCGCAGATTATTTACAAGGTCAGGTAATCTCATCAGCGATAATATAAATCTAAGCAGCTAATGCTGAATATAATAGCCACCAAGGCAAGTGTAACTTATGTTTAGCGAAGCTGAAACTTACAGGATATACAAAATCGCTAGATCTCAGAGCTACATCAACCTGTTACTAGCCTATCCCCCAGTTCGTGATGCGACAAACTTCAGGCGATTATTGCACAATATTCATACCAGTATAAATACTGTCACTGTGATAAATGCAGCGTTTCTGAAAAAACGACTATGCAATCAATTTAAGTACTACTTAATTGCATGATGGTGTTTTAGTTCAAAGTTGAGTACAACTTATTTATAGTTGTACCTTTGGCAAAATTGCAGCAAAACGAAAGTGACTCAGGATGAAATTGTGCAGCAGTTCAAGAATCCCATCTTGTACAGTTCTATTTGTAACAATTTAATATTATTTTAGTAAGTATATTTATGCATACTAATTAGAGATAGACTGATGTAATAAGACATAACTAAATAATCACACAGTACGGGGCAATCGACATAACACCGTCAGGCTTTTACAAATAAATCGAGTCCGTTTAGACTTGTGCTGTCTTTGAAAATTTGAAGCTATTTATGATACTTCGTAATATTAGATTATCTTGCCCTGTAGTGAAAAGGAAGATAGTTTACAAATGGACAACGACTGAATTTCAAGTGTAAATTATGAAAACCTGCGTCATGCTGAAGCCAACGGACAAAGCACCCAGCAAAGTTTCTTAAATGCCAAATAGGCGAATGGGACAACTGTCCAACTTAGACCAAAATTCTAAATATTTAAGGACAACACTAACCTTAACGCGATCCGGTATGAGTATACGCAAACAGTTTTCAATCCAGTTTATGGCGTAAGTTAATGTGCAAAGTATAAAAGTTCGAACAGCGTATTTCAAGGTACTTGCTCTATATATTTGTTGAAAGCAGAAGTGGTTTAACACGACTTAAATAAACTCTCAAAGCCAAACTTCGTTTCTTGAATAGGTTAGTTATCTCAGCGTGTCCGTTCGAATTCTTCGGAGTTTTCTCATTAAGCCCGATATTATCTGACACTATCGGGCGACCCTGAGCTGCTAGTCCTCCCCCAGATACACGGTAAAGTCTGGGTGTACCTAAATCAATAGTTTCAATTAATCTAATTTTACCGACCAAATGCGAACGGTCGAATGGATGGATAGATTTCCATTTTGGTGAAAATAACGGTGCTGCAATCTGTTGGAACGGCCGATTCGAAGCCGTTATCTCTATAAATGGCCCCTTCGCCGTGCACGTTGCTATCCTTTTGGAGAACCAAGGCTATTTTTTGACCAACCGTACAACAAATATTGCGACACCGCTCCATACATAAAGAACTGTTAGGTTACCTTATAATCACTGGGGCTGAGAACTCTGTATGTTTTATGGGGACACACATTATCCAATGTGTGCGTAAAGCATAAGATGAAATTGGCCGGAAAAATTAGATGTAACACATGGAATGTTATTCTTTATAGCAAAGCCTTATTAACCCTTTTGTTGCGTCTCCCAAAACAATGGGCTTTACCAAGCGTTCGTCTGGCAATACAGTCGTTATAAAAATAATGTATCTCCAGCTTTAGTTCTATTTTCCAGACAACCCTTTGGACCTCAACGATTAAACCAATAATATATTATGGGGTAGAGAACATGTATCGTTCGAAACCGTAAACATGATGCCACCTACTCCGTTTTATAGCCTGAAGTGGACCTATGGAAACTATGATAAGCAAGAACGAGTAAACAATATTGTTCGCGCGTTGAAATAATAATAATAAGTTAGTGTTTCCGCCGATTGGTTGCAAGGTTTCAGTAAGCCTTACTTCTCACATTAACACAAAAAATTGGCTATCTACTATAATGTACGATCTCATATTTTTATTTACTACTGTCACTTAAACTCGGTACAATTTTTGGCGCCCCGTGCACGACGAGTTCCATAAATCTGATAAATATACATTTGAGCCCTAAACAAGTTCAATAATACAACAATTTTACGACTTTCTCCCTGTACTTACCGAAACGAATTGCTAAGCTTCCTTCTAAATTTTCTATGATAAAAGCAGTACACAAGCATCACAGGTTCTCCAGTTTGGCAGTTAGCCTTTATCAATCAGAGGTCTGAACCAGTTTACAGTATCCTGCCACTTTAGCCCGTATCGTACCAAAATGGGGTTTTTTTTCTATTTATGATATTTGCTTCGCTACAGACCTCGTGAAGTTCTCAGAGTTTTCGATATTTATTGCTCTCGGAAACTCGGTGAGAGTTCTTCCTAAAGATTTTGCGCTATTGTCGACCATGAATTTGTTCAGCGCTTCCTACACATCCACATAATGACATCAGTGAATAGTTTTCCCGTAGTGAACAGTTATGCCGCATCGTAAGCTCGACACCCGGCGCCTAAAGCTCCTGAAGACGGCACGGAAGGAAGCATGAGGCGCAGCGGAATCTCCGATACAGATGTGTGATATTTATAATAAAATTTACAACGTGCACCACAAACCAATAAGCCAGTTGCTATTTTCTTTAGCATGAATCATTTCTTAGCTGACTAACTTCTTAATGCCATATTTGTTGCCACACATCTTCCAACCACAGATCATTTCGATCAGTTCAATATCTTGTTCGATAATAAACTGGTCAACTTGATACAAGTACTTGAGTCCTGACGCATATTTGGCTTCGGCCAACCTTATGAAAAAATGTTTTTACCATTTTCATTTGAATTGGGTTTTCGTCTCGCTCTTTCTTTCTCCCTCTTTCTCTTCATCGGCCCCGGATAGTGACCTATTTTTATGTCACTCCTTTGCCTTTCTCGGTCCCGTGCTTTGCTTTTTTTTTTTAATGGAGCGTTTAAATTAAGTGCACAAATTACTGAATATGTGGTGACAAAAGACAATTTGCAAACATTTTAATTCTTACAATTACTGTCGAAATCTTGCTTTTGGGCTGACGAATCTTCCCGTGCAGATCTTCCTGTTTCTGTAGTTACATTCTTGTAAGGCATGTTGCGGGACCGAGGTTAGCGTTTATTTCAATGGAACACAGGGCTAGTAAAGGTATATCTCGCTAGACAACAGCATGGTCATCCCCAGACCTTTCCTCCGGCTTGTTCTCTAAAATAGTTTCGGTGAGTTAAGAAGAATTATATTTTCAAACAAATTTTGAACCGACCGAACCACACGAATGCCATAAAGACGTGAACACATTTTTATGGCAAATTTCTTTTTTTCTTGCAAAAAAGAAAAAAATGTTTGCAAATCTAATACAGGTTATGCGGCTAAGAGCTCATCCAGCCAGGGATATCGAGATTTTATAACTTTTTTGATATATATATATCAAAAAAGTTGTACTTCCATAGGCTAAATAATTAAATAATCTAAATTGTTTGCCTGATGACAACACCAACATAGGCCGGCAGAATATTAGGCCTCGATCGTCAGATTAGTGCTCGGAAACTTGGTGATGGTGACGAAGCTATGCCTGAGCAGACCTTGTCAAAGCTGGTCAACGATAACACGGTATGACGCAGTCTAGTTCAGGGGCTCCAAAATCGAAATGGTGTTGACCGTTGAGGATCAACATAGCTTTACAGTCTGATTACGGCAACGAAGTTAGCAGATATCGTCGATGTCAGAGAGGTCATCAAGTTCTCTGGCATTTATACACAAGATTTGTTCCCCTACAAGTAAGGCGGGATAAAATACAAAAAAGCCACATCATCAGTTGACAAACAAGCTACGGCCGTTGGAACACAACAATCAAAAAAAGATAGTGCCCCCTTTCCCCTATTTTCATTGTTCGATTTTAATTAACAAAAATATATTTTGGAAGTTTGATTCAAGTTATTCACAAGATCTTGTTTGGGTTATTTTACTCGATCGTTAATTAAAATGCAGGCTACATCTTGCCTTTGTGACTTCGGCCTGTTGTAGTTGGTAATATAAAGCTGCACTTTGAAGCCCTGCCATAATAATGTTCTGCATGTAGTCGATATCTATAATTTTAAAGTGTTTGTTTAAAGTGGACTTTTTAATTCTCTGTAATGGTATCTCGGGAGCTTCATGCAGCCCTGGACTTGATGACCCGTAGTAGAGGTCTTAGAGAACAACGACGCAGCTCAACAAAACTTCACGCACGTATCATGGATCTCAAACGCTAGGAGCGTGGGAAAATTTTCTAAAGTAGGTCCTGGCGAGCAAGAGATTGTCTATTACTTGGCATACGCTAACCTTTACTAGGTTTACTTTATTCATTACAGTGCCTACACAAAAAAACATTGAGCATCTTTAGCAAAGTATTTTTGTAAACCTTGATTCATATTGAAGGTTGACAGTCTTTTTCTGTAAAGAATCTTTTTGATCTGATCGATCGAATTAATAGCGAAAGTGATACAGTTTATTATTTACTTTTCTAAAAAATAATAACCATACCTCTGTGACACTGAAATGTAGGTGTCACAGAGGTATGGTAATGAACCATGCAGCTTCTATGAAAATTATTTTACTGCGTTATCGCGGAATGCAGTCGTGCACTTAGGTCAAACTATTTTTCTAATTCGAAAGCACTTGACACTTCTAGCCTTTTCCCAAACGAATGAAACACAATGTGTTAACCACAATGTACAGAAATTCTGCCATGCTTATTTCAGCACGAAACGAAGGCCGTCTGTGCGCGAACCTAGAACATAGAGAGAGTTGAGTTCTGCTGCCTAGTCAGACTGAGGTACTGATCAAGTAGTATTTTTCGACCTAGACACATTTTGTTTATAACTGCAAGTTATCATCAAGGGCGCAAGATGGAAACTTGTATTCAGCATCTCACCAGTAAAAAAAAGATAAATTCAGTTATCTGAGAGACACAATGAAGTATACGTTATGCATGATGTTATTCTTTCAGTTCTGATTGAGATTTCACTCAGTCGCACCTTATGAAAAACCTATTGTTAGAGATATGACGAGTAAAGGGCCATACCCTGCCATCAAGATAATATCGCTGTTGTGAACCTAAAAAAAAACGACAGCGAAAAAGTGCAGGAATATTGAAAGCCGACTCTGACAAGGCGAAACATAAATGGGGTCATTGACGACGTCAGTGAACTTGCGTTTAGAAGAAAAGTAGTTGAAAAGTTACCGATTTGAACTATAAAACTACTTCGTTCACCTAAAAAATTAACTTTTAGCACGTTTACATCTGCCCTTACCAACTCTAACTCGATACGTAAAATAATTTTTATAGCGAGTTAAACAAAATAGCATTAAAATATAAACAAAAATAAAATTAAAAAAAATTAAACATGGAAAAATATTTATTTTTCATAGTCTCGCATACGTATTACAATGATTATTTGGCAATTCTACAGCGCCATTTCGGCGTTGCATTTTTCCCTTAAATTGAACTTTCCTAAAATTTATACCTACATTTTTTCTGCGATTTCGTGAGAAATGTATTTGAAAGTATTGCAATTGGTAGAAACATGTTATTACGTTACTATCAATTGTGGTCGTACGACCATTATTGTTCAGCTTACTGATAAAGAAAACTTCTGCAAAAATGTACTCGCGATTCACTTTTCGATGTTCCGGTTTATTTAGACTTCCTTCAATTGAATCTTATGATATACCAAAGATCACCACCTAAAATCGTTTAAATCGTATTTGCATAGTTATAGTATATACTTGAAGCTGTATAATTATTGTCAAGTAACGAAATAAGCGTATGTCTTTAATACAGTCCTTCGGTGCTTTTCTTTAACGGAACCATGTTTTGAGTAGTCATTCTTTCTAGCAAGTCTACCAGAGCCAGGAAATGCACGATTGTTCTGTAATTCATTACGGTGTATGATACAGGCAGCTATGTACATATATCCGCTGCATACAGACTAGCCCTAGGGCGAAGTAATCCGATTCGTCTCATGACGCATTAAGCACAACACATCCTCATCCATTAACGAACACCCCACGGATTATTCAGTAAGCTGTCGCAGAATGGAGCATTTTTGTCTCTCATTATGTTGTACAGGGTAGCAATGTTATACTAAAGCTACTTTAATTTATTTTATTAATATAAATAAGCTGCATCTAAATGTGAATAGATATTTGGATGAATTGTCTGAAGAGGCCGGTGTTATTAAGAAAATACGTATTGGACAT